ATAAATATAACAGCACTGTATATACAACTAATAAAAACAGGATTAAGAAAGGAAACAATAGTAATATACACAGTCAAATGGGAAAGGAAGAACAGACTCATGAATTAGCTTAAAACAAGATTTTAACTTTAAAACGGTATAAGACACTTGTATTATCTGGATTTAAAGGACTAAAACCTAAAGTTGAGCAGAACCCATGCAGTGTACCAGGAAAGGTTACTTAGCTGAGACAGCCCTCCCCAGTAAGTCAGTTCTCTGTCCGCATGAAGCTCAGTGGCAGGAGACATCACCAACATACTGGAGATGAGCCAGCCATCTGAGACCTTAGGAAATTTAAAAAAAAAAAAAAAAAAAACCGAAAACAACAACATATAGAACAACCTCCTCCTGGATGTAGCTAGCCCTGATGAGACCTGATAGGCTAGGGTCAGATAGAAGGGGAGGAGGTCGTCCCCTATCAGGGGACTAGGGAAAGGATATAGGGGGAAAAGTGAGGGGGTGTGTGGGACTAGGAGGAAACACAGGAGGGGACTACAGCGGGGATACAATGTGAATAAATTGTAATAAGTAAATAGATAAATAAAAAAATAAATACATATTTTTGGTATAACATTTATAAATACATATTTTTGGTTTAACATTTCTTAAAATTATAAGCAAATATGTTTTGAAATAACAGTGTTCCATTTCTGCCTCAACATGTTACAGTTTATGTGTTTTTTCCTAAACATTGGAAACAGCATTCTAATATCAAACAATACATTCATCAGTTTAATAATAATACTGGCTAAATCCCTGCTCTATGGAACAGATTTTTATTTACTATAACTTCTAATATTTTAAAAACCTTTTTTCCTGCCAGATGACTTTTTTTAAAATAATCTTTTTAGTTTTTGAGATTTTAAGTTACATCATTCCCCCATTCCTTTTCCTCCCTCCAAACCATGCCATATAGCTGGCTTCCTTGCTGTCTTTCAAATTAACCTGCTCAGTCTATATAGTGTTTAGCAGTCGCTTGGGAAGGTATCTATCTGACTGTCTGTCGGTCCATCCATCTGCCCATCCATCCATCCATCCATCTATCTATCCAATTTGTTTTTTGAGACAGCATTTCTCTGTGTAACCTGATTGTCCCAGACTCGCTTTGTAGACTAGGCTGGTCTCAAATTCACAGAGATCCACCTGCCTTTGCCTCCCAGAGTGCTAGGATTACCAACATGTGCCACCATGCTCAGCGGGAAAGTATTTCAAATTTTGATCAAGTTATTTTTAAAAATTCTAGTATATCTCTGTGGGAAAACTCTTAAGGCCAAATTTCTTAAATCACATTCCAACCAAATGACATTTTCTTCTCTGATAACCAAATATTGAAATCCCCCATAGGACACTTTGTGTCTGTTCCAAACAACTATACCCTTTATTAACGCACAGAACAAACAAACACAGCCTTATTTCATGAAAAAATAAAAGAAGGTGTATATGGTAGTGCCACATCTATCTTATCTACAGTATAATAGTGTAACAAGTATTAACATTGAAAACACATCTGAGAGAATCTACAACTACATGAAACTACAACTATAAAAATATTCCAACATTAAGACGCAAATCAGAATAGAATGCTTCTCCTCAAAAATAAGGTCAATTGGTAGTGCTAAAGCCGGTCTTTTTTTTTTTTTTTTTTTTTAGCATTTTCAAACACAATTTATTTTTGCTGTTTCTTTTTCTTCAATCTTCAGCACAACCTCCTCTCTCCCTTATGCCCTCCCTGCACTAATGTCACAGGTGTCATCCTGACCTCTTATCACCTCTTGCTCCCACCAGAGAAGGGTCTGTTCAGATCACTTGCCCATGTTCAGTAGGCTTATTTTTCCTTATGTCTCTTGAGTTTATTGTATTGATGTGGATGTGAAGCTTCTAAAATACAAGGAAGCTTATAAGCTGCAGAAATGTTGTTTAGACACTCTTCTCTCCTGTTTCCAGTTTAATGTGTAGAAATTATAAGGAACACATGAGAGAAAAAACTTTCCTTATGGTAGACAAAGATATTATTATAAACAAGCATCATATTATGCTGAGTTAAAATGTGAAACAGGGATACAAAGTAAGTCTACAAAAATCTTAAGAATATGAGGGTCATTCATTAATTTACCAATGCCTATATATGACAAGAACTATGTGCTTACTGCAAACAAACCAGCCAACTATGTGACAAGAGCAATGGTTCTTACTGCAAACAAACTAGACAATTTCTTCTCTCTGGAGCATAAAGTCTCAGTAAATTGACAGGCAACAAACAGAAAAAAGACAATTATTGATGATGATAAATACTACAAAGTAAGTAAATAGTTTCTTGAGGGAGAGAAAGATAAGATCCTAATTTTGGACATTTCAATCAATAAAATTATACACTATCTGGCCTTCTAAAAATGCCTTTTTTGGCTTTGCATGTTACCACATTTTATCTGTATTACAATATGTTTCAGTACTGAGGATGAAGAAGAATATGACTATTCCTGTGGATTTCTTTTTGTTGGCAGTAAGATTAGCTTTTTAAAGAGACATTGAATAGCTATTTGAATAAAACTTTATAAGTTGTTTTCATCTTGTTTATGTATAATAAGAATGAGCCTGTAGAGAATAAGCTTAGGTAGAACCCTTGCCTGATACTCCGAGGCCGTAGTTCTGATTGCCAGAAGCACAAAAAGCTAATAAGACAGGATGTGTTGATAGTAAGACTAACTCTAAAAATCTCACACATGGTTTACTAGAAGAGAAGAGACATGGTAAATATCAAGGATACTGAATTACAAGTTTTAAAATTTCTGCAAGTTGATTTTTGCCAGAGCCCTCCTCTAAGGGTTTTGGTTATTTAATATTCAGGAAGGTAAAAAATGGGTTTATTTTTTAAACCCTCCTATTTGGTATCCATGGTTGGAAGTTGCTCAAATATCTTAGATATTGGACTTCAGAGAGCAATTTATAACACACCACCTGTAGAGAAATAATCACTAGAGAAAGGAAGAGCTCAGACAAATACCCACATCCAAATAAAGAAGCACATATTTAACATATAAAAGCAAATGTTTCTGTGGTAAGATTAAACAACTCTCCTGGGTAAGATTAGTCTTTCCTGGAAACCAAAGTGTAAAGATATTTCCTATACTCCACTCCACTTAAAAATACAAGTGTATATAATCATATGCACACAAAGAACACTAAACAGACTCACTGAGTTATATTTATGTTATACATTTATATATTATTTCTATGGTTATATGTAGAATAATAATCTGAGAAAAAGAAGCTATCAATTTGAGGAGTAGGGGCATGGATGAGGTTGGACGGAGGAAAGGGGAGAAGTAATGTAATTATATTTTAATTAAAAATTAGGAAGTAAACACACATTTAAAAATATTAAATATACAGAGAGGCTCTGATTCTCAATCCTACTTAGAATTATTAATAGTGACATAAGATACACGAAGTAGAATGTGTTTTCACACATAAACGTGTAATTATCCAGATGTAAAAGATGAGGTTAGAAAGGTCAGTGCCTTGCTCGGCTATCATCACAGAAGCTTCCTCCTGCAGCAAATGGGAGCGAATGTAGAGTTGACAGCCAGACACTATACAGAAAGAGAAATAGAAAACTTGGAACACAGTCCTAACATGTACCATCAAATCCTGCCACTCTGGGTTCAGGGAACCTTGCAGAAAAGAAGGCAGAAACAGTATAAGAGCCAGTGGAGATGGAGGGTGCTCAGAAAAGTTCCTCTACGTGAGCATGATCATGAACATGTGAACTCATAGAGATCAGGGAAGCATGCGCAGGGCCTGCATGGGTCTGCACCAGGTCCTCTGTGTATATTTTATGGCTTTCACTTTAGTGTTTTCATGGGATTCCTGAATATATGAGTGAGTGGTTTCTGTTTCTTTTCCCTTCTCTTAGGGTGTTTTCCTTCTGTTTGTTTATCCAATTCCAATGTGTTAGTTTTTGTTTTATCTTACTATATTTTGTTCTATTTTATTACTATCCTTTAGAAGCCTGTTTGTTTTCTACAGAGAGACAGTAAGGGGGTAGATCTGGATGGAAGGGAAGACAGGGAGGAGCTGAGAGTAAAGGGAGGAAAAAAACATAACCAGGAAATATAGGAGAAAAATATTTTTAATAAAAGGAAAAAATAAAAGAATATGGTTAAGTTCAAATAAATAAAAGAATAGAAAAGAACCATAAAAAAATAAGGATGGGGGGCTGGAGAGATGGCTCAGTGGTTAAGAGCACTGGTTGCTCTTCCAGAGGACGGGGTTCAATTCCCAGTACCCACATGGCAGCTCACAATTGTCTCTAACTCCAAGGTCTGGCACCCTCACACGTATAATGTACATAAAATAAAAATAAATAAGTTACTTTTTAAAAAAGGGATGATATATGCCTGGTTTTGTCACAGGTTAGTGACAAAATGATAGCAAATGAATGACTGATACAGGAGAATTTTGTGGGTAAAGGCTGGGTAGGAGATTTTGACTCTGGTGAATAGGGAATGTTAATTGATTTTATTTGCTTACAGGATCAATCACCAATTGTCTCGTGATTTTAAATATAACCTCATAAAAAGAAATAAATTGTTATCATTTTCTGTTTTTCAAAGTAGAAAAGAGTTTAGAATCTAGCTAGACACGTGTAAATGTGTGCTTAACTAGTGTCCAGGAAGTGCAGAGCAAGCTTCCTGTTCTCAAGTGAAAACCTTAGACAATAAGATATTTTTAGTGTCCAGTTTCTTTTCATTTCATGTGACTAGGTACGATTCAGAATTGCTACATCGATATTCAAAAGTAACCCCAGTAAATATGAATTGAAGACCTTGCGATACCTCAGTCAGTGTCTTTTCCTTACAAGAACACTGTACCACCATTTATCGTTCAGAATTTACTGTTCCTGCCTTTTGAATTTTCTGGACTAGTTTTGCTCATTCTGTGTTACAATTTGTCTCCTGAAGGTCAAGTCACCTGGTTTGGTTACGAAAGCCCTCGAAGCTTCTGGGACTATATCAGAGTGGCCTGCCGGAAAGTCTCACAAAACTGTATCTGCAGCATTGAAAACATGGAAAATGTCAGTTCCTCCAGAGCTAAGGTGAGGCTTGGTAATAGGAAGTGTGGCTAATCTAGCTAGAAGTTATTTTATCTGAACCTAAAATATTTGAAGTCTGTATTAAAAAAAAAAGATTCTTTTTGTTGTTGTTGTTGTTATAATTTGCACGTTACCCAAGTTAACATTCTTCAGAGGTTTTATCCTTTCGTTTTTATTTCATTGTATGTGCTTATTTTATAACACTGTTTGTTGGATCATCACTATTCATATACACTGAATAGCAGGAATAAAAGAACCTACTCACTACAGTTTTTCTTTTGAAGAAGCAGTTTAAATTATAGTCTACTCAAGCTGGGCATGTTAGTACACGCCTGTAATCCCAGTGCTCAGGAGGCAGAGGCAGGCGAATCTCACTTTAAGGCCATCCAAATCTACAGAGTGAAGTCCAGGACAGCCAAGACTATACAGAGATATCCTGTTTTGGTAATATATATGCATATATAAATATATATTTATAAATTTATAAATATATAAATATATTTATAAATATATAAAATTAAATAATTTTAAATTTAAATTATAATTAATTATAAATATATATTTATAAATTTATATATGTATATATGTACACACATGTATAGATATATATGTTCATATACATGTATATATATTGCTGAGGGATCTTGGGAGGGTCACCAGAGGCCTTTCTTTGAGGGTTTGTAATCTCCAACACACCATGTTCCTTTTCCTTTCATTCCGTTAACATTTACACTACTAATGAATGAATAAACAATGGTGACTACTCTTGCACAGATGAAGGCAGTGGCATCAAATGACACAAGTAGGCATTGAGTACTTTCCTTCTATATAAAAAGCCAGTTATTTCAGAATGTCTGCTAATGGTGTAGTGAATTTTGATTATTCCTCTCAAGCTTTGACTAGGTATTGTTGACTATGCAATTCGGTATGAAAATGTGCAATATGACTGGGCACGATTATACATGCCTGTAATCTCAGCACTAGGGAGGTTGAGGCAAGAGTGAGGCTTGAGGGTTTGAGGCCAGCTTGGGAGACACAGTGAGTTCCAACTAGCCTAGGTTTTATAGGAAGTCATATCAGAAAACATTTCTGTAGCATATTGAAATGCTATGGTTACTTCAATAAAGACACATGTCATTGTATTATGGGTTGACCTAGGGACTTTTTTGTGTGAAACCACCTTTATTGCGAAGAAACTTACAAAATGCAATTTGCGAGCTGGAGAGAGAGATCTTTCACTTAAATGCAAGAATATGAGTGGTGACACAACTGACTATCTTTGGTTGCTAGTGAGCAAGCTTTTAAGCAAAAATTAAACTATTGGAAAACTCGCATTCACTGCTTTTAGCTTGATAAAAGATTCCCGATAGCACTGATGTCAGCAGGAAATACATTTTCAAACTGTTTAGTAGAATTTAATATTTATAGACCTGCATAACTTATATTTTTCAAATGACCAATTCATAGAACTACAAAAAATATGCATGAATGAATAATTCAAAGTTTAAGAGAAACATCTGAATTTAATGTGATAAAGTGTAAAAAGTTCATTGTTTCAGTTACATTCCACATTGCACCTAACTTTTTTCAATGATCATTTGATGAAGGTGGTTTTGTGTGTGTGTGTGTCTGTGTATCTGTGTTTCTCTGTGTGGTGCTTATTGCATTTAAAGGTACAGATGTGCACATTTGCGAATGCACACACAGAAGCCACAGCAGGGTGTTGCATGTCTTTTTTCATCACTCTTTACCATGTTGTCTAAACTGGAAGGCTGCTGGTTTGGGCCAGGCAGGCTGACTGTCTAGCTAGAGCATCTCTGGGGCTGGCTAACTCTGTTCCCCAATGCTGGAGTTACAGGTGTGCAAAATCATCCTGGCTTTTGTGTGTCTTAGGTATTCATGTTTGCCGGACAAATGCTTTTACCCATTGAGCCATTGAACCTTCTCCATTTACTAAGCTTTTTAATGTTAGGTACAGTAAATATTAATAGACAGAGCCTACTAATTTTTAAATTAGATTTGCCATAATTTTTAACATTTGTGAAAAATATTTTTAAAGAACTTTTTAAGTGTTTTACCCTTAATTTAGATAATGTTTTGCTTTATTGGGCTGTGATAAGTAGAAAATTTTTCACAGTTTAAAGATCAAGTCGTGACATAATTCATTATTTTAGAATTTTAAAGTTGAAACTGCAGCTCAGTCGAGTTTGTTTCAGTTTTGCTTCTATGCTTTTCCTATTGCTTAGGAATAGTATCTCAGTTTCCTTAGGTTGAAAGATGAGTTGTATTGTGGATGAAATAAATCTACAAGAAAAAATTGTGACACACAAGTTTTCTCATTTTCTTTAGGTACTTTCTTTCACTGCCTGCCTGCAATTGCAATCTGATAGCACTCACTGAAATGCTTAATCCTTTTTTCTACTGCCCCCCTATTTTTAATTGTAAGTTTTTAAATATAGTATATTCTAATTATGTTTTCCCTTGGCCCTGGTCCTCTCAGTTTCTCCCCTCATCCCTTCCCATCTTGGTTCACATCCTTTTTGTCTTCCCTTAGAAAGCAAACAGGCAACTAAGGGATAATAAGATAAAACAAAATGAGCAATCTGGAATAGGACAAAATAAACATAAGAAAAAGCACAAGAAATACATAGAAATGCAGAGGCACGTATGTTCACACATACAGGAATATCTTAAAAACTCAAAACAGGAAGATATATATATATATATATATATATATATATATATATATATATATATAACATATATATGTTATATATATATATATAACATATATATGTTATATATATGTTAAATATATATATGTATGTGTACATACATATATATACACATACATATATACAGCGTACCTGCATTCAGGTCCTCAGCGTCTCGCTTTTCTATGAGAAAAATTTGTTTTAGAATCAGTCATTTTCATAAAAATGCACGGGAATAATCAAAACCTTTCAGTCACTTCTGTTTTCCCGTGTTACTTTCCTCCCAGTCTCATGACATCTGAGTTAAAAAACCATGTCTGGTATTCACTCAGATTCAACTAAATGCACTTATGTGATTGGAAAGAATCCTCCAGGAATCTCAGTTTCTCACTTGGCAGGGGAAATAATAATACTGGCATCACCAAGGTCCTTCATTTAATTTGTTAAGGTATTTATTCAGTAGTCTTCTAAGTATTAAATGTCAGTGTTAGGTAACATTTAGAACCGAGTATTACTTCTTTACATTCTTCATAGTTTCAATTTGAAGCCAAAATATGTATTGTTGAATATCTAAATGGCTTTCAAAATGTAATAAATAGTGAAGGTAGTTGGGATTTAACTGGAAATTTTACAGAAACAAAATTCTCAATCTTGTGGTAAATCAGAAATTTAAATCTTCTGAGAGATTAGATTCTCCCAGTGCCTGGAATAAGGTTGAGAATCAGAAGATGAAAATACTTGTAGCATCTGCAAGTTGACAGTGGACACTACCAATAACCATGAAAACAAAAAAGAGGGACATCAGTCGCCAGTCTACAAAAGTAAAAACTGACTACCCACTGGCATGAACTTGGTTGTAGGTTTTCTCCCAGTGACGGACGCCCTTTTTTGTGTAACCCTAAACAGAAAAACCCTGATGTTGCCACCCAAACTTCTGAATAATGTGAGATACTTAATTGGTCTATTTTTAAGCCTCTAAATTTGTAAATTACTAGATAGCAGTAAAAACTAACACAATTTCCATAATAAAATCTAGTTCCCCTCCCTCCTAGTTGTATAAAAGCAGAGGTTATTACCTTTCTTTCCCTACCACAGCAGTATGCTGTGTGTTATGGCTGCACACAGAAAGTTAAGTTTAGTATGAGTAAGCGTCTCACACAGTTGAACGAAAATATATTCACAATTTTTTAATATTGCATTACACAAGTTAATTTTTTCTTAGAAGCACAGTGATTTACTGCTTGAAGTGATTCCTGAATCTGGGGTACTCTTTTTCTACTGGATGATGAAATCCCCGAGTTCCAGTAAATACAGCAAAAATTCAAGTCAGAAATACATAATCATAGTATAAGCACACAGCATCATGGAGAAGGAAAACAAATTTGTGTAACAAAGTTTTTAAGTCATTATGAAGGATGATTGGTTAGATCATTCTTACTGGTTTTGGTTCATTGTATGTACATTGTGGCAGGACTGAAGACCAGGAGATAGTGCCCTCTAAAATATTCCTATTGACCCTTCCTATTTGAGAAATTGTTCAAGGGAAGTCACATGGATGAATGGATCTATAAAGATTTTATCTTGATAACAGAATACTTGATAACCAAAAAAAAAACTGTATAGTTTTCAAATTAAAGTAGAAGATATGATCATTGCAAGTATTGTAAACCCCTTTAATAGAGGCTGTAATAATATGTACATAACTGGCTCAAAATGCAGAAAGTAATTGAAAAGACAAATGTTAGAAATACAGCATGTGCAATATTCCTCTTGAGAATGAGCCCTATTCAAAGAGAGGAAACTTTGTAACCACAGGGGCCTTAAGGCGGCCATGAAGTTAGAAAGCATTAGAAGAGACAGAGCACCAGACTATGGGCAGGATGATAGGGTCTTAAAATGAAAGAGCCTTTCCTTTAGATCCTGAGAGGAACTACATTAGGAGAAATAGCTACTGTGTTGACTAGCATGACAGACTCCTGAAGGGAGAGGGGAGAACCATTCCAGAAAAGAGGTGGGCGGTGTTCTGATACTTACAGGGTTTGGAGTATAATATCATACCACATTATGTAACCTGCCCTGGCCTATCTCCCCATGAACGTGTACTAGATAGAACCATAAATTTGCTTTGCAGCTTCAAGGAAAAGGGGCTTTAAAGTCATAGCACAACATCATATCCAGTCTGTATGTCAGAAGGGGGTTGAGAGGGACATGGGGGAGGGGCATGGTCTGATTTCTTGCAAAGAGGGGAACAATTAGATGATCTGTGAACTGGGATTAAAATGTAGCAGG